ATCTGGCATCTGACAGTCCCAAGCTTTAGCCTCACAACTTCAGACGACGTCGCGGCTCGACAACATGCTCCCCGCACCCGATACAGCAACAGCTGTCGGCATGCCACACATAGTACCACATACGGACGCACACTGAGACTTTCACAACTATCTATTATTACCACGCCAACTTGCGCATCCGCGGCTTGAACCTCCTCTACACCAGCCTTCATCCCTGCCTTCTGCCGCGTAGACCAACATGTCGGCCTCCAGGTTTCCAATTGCGCCGCCACCACAGCTGGCTAATGTTACTTCCTCTGCATTCTCCTACTACGGAACGGCCAAAGGAGCGGGCCGACTGCTGCTCGGCCTCTCTGCCGGTGTGTTTTCAACCACATTACAAGCCGCCCGCTATGTCGGGAGCGCGTTGGTCTGGTTGTTCTCCGTTGTTGCCTTGGCGGCTGCTTGGCCTTTGGTGCAGCTCTTTTCTCTTCTCCGCTTCCTTCTGTCGCCCGTTACCTACACGTTGTCATATGTAGCCGCGCCTCTGGTCGCGTTTGTTTCATTTCTGGGGCGTCTGCGACCGCTCTACACTTATGTATGCAACCCCGAGCCCCGACACGCTCTGCTCGTTGCAGAGAAAAGAACTAGTACTGACTCCCTCCTGCCACACGCCAGCTCGGCTCCGCGGCTTTCATAGGCATCGTCACAGGCCTGGTCCTCAAGTTTGCCTCGCGCTACGTTTTTGTTATCCTCAGTCTGGATGAAAGCGCAGAAGCAAAAGCAGACGGAGAGCTCGAGTCGGACGCCGACGCAGACGATGGCCCCGAGGCGGTTGGCGGCAAGATCTCGCCCATCAGCAAACAGTCCTGGCAAAAGCAGCGGCTGGCCAGACAGCTGAGCGACAAGGCACTGGCCTCACTGTTCTTACCAAAGAGCGCGGCCGTCACAACACCTCCTGCCATCGTCAAGACGGAGGACAGCACAACTCCACGGGACGACGTGTGGCAGTGGTTGGAGGAGTACAACCCTAACCAGCCCATTGTTGCAGTAGAGGGAGATGGTGGAGGCAGCGATGCATCTGCATCGCTGCTACGAACACAGAGCCCAGGGCCCAGAGGGCTATTGTCTCTCACTATCATGGAAGAATCGTCCTCGGAGTAAAGAAAAGTCGGGCTCTGCGTTTGCAACATCATGCCCAAACCTGTAATTATTATTGTTTATTGTTTAGTCCAGCTCAGCGTTGTTTTTGTTTATTGTACGACTTTTCTGTTATTGTTGGAGTAATGAATCCAGTTGTTTGTTGCTCGTTCCATGTAACGGCTTGCCGCTTGTTCGTCCTTCTAAAACCCCGTGATTAATGATGAAAACGCCGATCCTTGTAGGATGAGCCATCGCAGTTCCCACGTCCCAAATATGCAATATACAAAAACACTGCCATTTTTCTGGCCGCCTTTATCTACGGTATCCGTCCCGTTCACGACCGTGCTCCCGCCAAATCGGCGACCGGCTGCGACTGTGGCGTGGGCCGCCGCCATTGTCGTATCGGTCAGCCCGGCTACCGTACCGAGCTGCATCATCGTCGTGCCGCCGACGATCCCATGCGGCTTCGTGACCTGGATCCCTCCCTCCGCCTCCGCCCACATAGGTCGGAATGTACGTGTCGCCATCGGCACCACGGGGGCCACCACCGCCACGGCCTCTCGGTGGGCCAAGGTGGTCTGGCCTATCCCTACCATGGTCCCTATCTCGGCCACGGTCCCGGTCTCGGTCCCGGTCTCGGTCCCGGTCACGGTCTCTATCCCTATCACCACGATCGCGGTCTCGGTCTCGGTCTCGGTCTCTATCACGATCGCGATCGCGATAACCATCGCCGTGGTGCGCACTGTCACGGCCATTCACCGAAGAATCGTTAGCAGGGGGAGGCGGACGGGGCGGAAGACCATGCGGCTGCCGGTCACGCGCCCATGCCGGCCTACGGCCGTCGTCGGCACCACCGCGCGGGCCGCGATCTTGTGGATGGCCACTGCCACCGCCACCGCCACCTTGCCGGCCGGGTCCACCACCATGTCGTCCGAAGCCGTCGCCCTCAAAACTGGCGCCGTTCGGACCAAACCCGGCATCTGCATGGCCACGACCAACCGTGCCACCCTTTGGCGCCGGTGGTAGAACTGCCTTCCTATCGTCAAACTTCCGGCGGTCAAGCTCATGCGACTCCTCAAATACAGGGATATCGCCCGGCTGGGCTGGGAGTGGAGCTGTTCGGAAATAGGGGTGCTGCAGGGCATCCATAGCGTTGATACGAGCACGCCAATCCAACTTCATCAGCTGCGAAAGAAGCGATACAGCAGCAGGACCGAACCTGAAGACATCGTTAGTCGGGGAAACGTTGGTATGGAAAATGGAATGAGACGTAAAGCGGGGCCCATGACGTACTTGCCAAACCGCGTGGATAGATTGCCCGGACGGACGCGTGGTGTGAGACCCTCCGCCCCTGGCAGCTTACGCCAGTTGGGCATATTGTCTTCCGTGGGCGAACCACACAGGTCCCAGATGAGTTCCAGTTGGTGGGGATCGGTGACACCGGCTAGAATCGGCTTCCCGTACAGCATCTCGCCGAACACGCACCCAACACCCCACACGTCAATTGCGGTGGTATACCGCTTGAGCTGCATGAGGAGTTCGGGTGGCCGGTACCATCGCGTGACGACAAGGCTGGTGTACTCGCGCTGGCCGTCACCGCCGCCTCGTCCCGGCATCGGTACCTCGCCTTCGTAATGGCGTGCCAGGCCGAAATCGGCAATCTGGAGGATGCCGCGGTTGTTGATGAGAAGATTGGCTGCCTTCATGTCGCGGTGCAAGATATGGTTTTCGTGAAGGTAGCGCAGGCCCTCGAGGAGCTGGAGGAGGTAGCATTTGATTTGCGGCTCGGTGAAGCGGACAGAGGGATTGTCGAGAAGGCCCGATAAATCGTGATCCATGTACGGCATGACCATATACATAATAGGCCGTTTCCGTTTGTCGGCTGTTTCCGTTAGCACTGATCTGGTACATGCAGACGGCAATTGTCAATCCGTCGCCTTCGAAAGAGACGTACTCGGTTTATGAGAGTGCTCGACGGCCATGTCTTCCAACTTAAGAACGTTCTTGTGCGACAACAACTTTAACAGCTTGATCTCTCGGAGAGCTGTTATCGGGAACTGGAATGCTGGTCAGCTACATTTAGACAATGGACAAAGAAAAGGAAAAAAGAAAGAAACAAGCACATTGCAAAACGTACTCCGTCTTTCTCATTATGCATAATGATCTTCTTCATTGCCACCATGGCACCGGTCTTTCGAGACCGTGCTTTGTGCACCTCACTTGTGCGTGTTAGTTTGTAACCACGGTTTGGGTAGGCAAGACAAATGAGGAGGCCCAAGAACTTCTTACCCAAATGTGCCCTCGCCTAGCTTCCCCAACAGCTCATAGTCGCGGATGTTGGAACATCCTACGAAGCTCGATCTAGATCGCATGTGTTGTTGAGCAAACGCCCGTGGTGACGGGGCGTACGCCGGCGAATCCACCATTTCGAACAAGCGCCTTTCGAGAAAGCGCCTGTCACTGTTCGCTCTTCAGGGAAGTGTGGAAGTGTTGTGGTCTCCGATAAAATGCTTGTTGAATCGGGTGCTCGTCTCGTTCGACAGCGTCTGCTGATCGTTTGCGAATCCGACGGTTGTTGTGGAAGAAAGTTGTTGATGCGCGCGCGCAGGGGTATCAATAAAGCAAGCTTCGCAAAGACATACACAATTATACATATGGGGTATTTCGTGTTAAGGCATGCGCGTATCGTGATGAGCACCACAGCCAGAACGGGCGATGAACGGTTTGTTTGATGTCGTCTTTCGATGCGTCCCAAGAAGCCTTTGTTAGCTGAGATGGCCCTGGTTGCGGCAGAAAGTGCCAAGAAACTGAATGCGGAAGGCGGTGGCCCTGCAGAAGGGCGATTGTTACGGGACTTGCCATAAGGGAAAGAATGGCCAATCACAGACAGCCGTACGCCGAAGTGGGCCGCCTCTTAAGGCCAATCACCGTTAGCTTATTTTCATGCCTTGTCGATTAGGCCACAAAAGATGCTCTCCCGGCTGCACCAATCCATTCCACAGCCAAATCGTTCCGCTAAATTCATGTATCGCGAAAGGGCTCCGAGCTCATACGACACCACCACACTTTCGAGCGCACGAACAAGGCCCGCGGTTAGCCATTGTCGCTCCCAACCCCGCGACGCGACTTCCGATTGACGTACCGAAGAGCATTGGTCTTCACTCCTGACCGTTTTTCTTGTGATTGCGCGCTGCTCGACGTCACTCGCCCTTCGTTCCCGAGAATTCTCAAAAGCTGACTCGCTTTTTTGCCGACCCCCGAAAGACCCTACGAGACATCCCCGGACCGCCGATTGCCCAGGTTCCAAGAACTCACCATGAACTTTCACAACAAGCCGCCGGTCCCGCATGTGCCGTTCGTGTACCGGTTCACTGCCACGGCGCTGGGTGCCAGCATGTGGTTCTTCGTGAGTGGCCGCCCCGCCCACTATGAGGTGAACGTCGGACGACGGCAGTCAGAAGGCCCGATTGCTAACAAATGGTGAAATGCAGCTGATGTACAGAGCGAAAAAGGACGGCCCGGCACTGATGGGCTGGAAGCACCCATGGGAGCACTAAACAGTGCAGACGAGCGACGGATCACGAATAGAATACGCATTGCGGACGCATTGCGGAGGGAAACGAGCGCCGGCGAGGGACAGAGGCATTCTCTGCTTCCGATGGAAAGGCATCATTCTTATGTACATATGGTTACGCCGACTGGGACAAATTAACATAAAAAAGATTCAAATTCACCGACAGGTTGATACGGCACAGTGTCTCAAAGCAGTTTCGCGTTGATGGTATCTCGAAATATCCCTCTTATGAAAGTAGAATCGACAGATTGCGAGCGGTACTCAACAACGACCAGTGGACCAGAATCACCCCCACGTCTACGCCTCACTTTTTCTCGGCGGCTTTGGAGAATAGATAGTGCGAGACGCCCCACGTGTCGCCGCCACGGTAGTTGAACAGCTCCGAACAGGCCATGTAAAACACCTGCCACCGGTAGTACCAGGCCACGGCATCCTTGTCGCCGTATGTGGCCACGAGTCCGGGCATCATGGCCTTCCTGTTGTCAATCATGTTCTGCAGCCAGTCCTCGCAAGTCCGCGAGTAATGGCGCCCGTTGACCCACCACTGTTTCTCAAGCGTCAGGTCGTGCTGGAAGTAGTGCAGCAGGTCCGCCGACGGCATGGTGCCGCCCGTGAAAAAGTAGGTTGACATCCAGCCCTCCTCGTAGTCATACGGCGTCGTGGCATGATTAAAGAGGTGCACAAAGAGCTTGCCGCCCGGCCGCAGCGCGCGGCCGACTTTGGCCAAGAGCAGCTCGTAGTTCTTCATGTGCTCAAACAGCTCGATGGAGACCACGCGGTCAAAGCTCTCGGGTGCAAATTCGTAGTCGACGACGTCGCCGGTGATTACAGTCAGGTTGGTCAGGCCGCGTTTCTTGGCCTGCTCGTCAATGTAGATCTTCTGGGTGCGCGAGTTGGAAAACGCCGTGATCTTGGCCTTGGGCAGTTTCTCGGCAAAGAAGAGCGAGCACGAGCCCCAGCCACACCCGAGATCCAGGATGTGCATGTCGTCGTCGAGATCGGCCTTTTCAATGTAGCTGGAGAGCATGGCCACTTCGGCTTCGGCCAGGGTCGTGCGCTTGCGGCTCTTCCAAGGCACGAACCGGGACAGCAGTCGGCCTGCGGATGAAAGGAGGGCGCTGTTACTACCTTCATTCTCCACCTCGGGGTACCAGCAGCTCGAGTACTTCATATACGGGCCGAGAGTAGCAGCCAGCACGCCGGTGCCGACCTCATAGTGCTGCTTGTTGGCCGTGTCCGTCTCAATGGCAATAGGTTGAAGACGCAGCCGAGCCACATAGCCCTGCTTACGCGCCGTGGCCGAGGCGAGGTCTGGTGTAGCCACTTCCTGGAGTCGTTTGGCTAGGTTTCGACGAATTCCAAGTCGGATGACGGCATGCGGCAGAATACCGCTATCCAAAAGAGAGTCTTTGAGTGGCGAAACCAGTAATGTGTCAGGCAATAGTTGCGTTGTTCGTCAGAAACGAATTTGGAGGCGACTTACCGACATCCATTGTATGCACAAACGCAGCTGATACTGGCTGTAAGACAAGGCTGAGGCGAGGCTGACAACGTCTATTGGATGCGTTGCGGCGTCAACACTGATGGTGAGCGGTTGTGATAAAATAAAGACCGTGATGCCAAAATAATAGATGCAAATTCAGAGAAAAATGAGAGAGATCATGGAAAGGCTAAAAGCTCTAAAAGCTTGAAACCAACCGCTCGAGCACGGAAAGAAACATCAATGAGATGCCGGGTTCGGAGTGCGCAGCTTCCATTGAGGGACCCTGCGCTGGCCGCACTGTTTCAGGACTCAGCGCATCCCGTGCGCATCCAATAAAAAGCAACAGAAACCAGGTAGACCAGACAATCATAAATGGTCAATAGCAACTCTTGCTGTACAAGATACTAATTAGGTACATTGACGTGTGAGCGTAAAACGTCCCCATGACTAACGGGGCACACAATTAAAACGTTCCTTGGGAAACGTATGAAAATGGTGCTGTTATTCAAAACGAAACCAAAATAAATGTTACGAGAACACGAGAAATATACAATGCAATAGACAATGCCTATGATAGCATCAGAAGAGCCATCGCGCACCCGCGTGTCTATGCACGCATGCTTTCTTGGATGAGCTTGTACCCCTTGCGCTTTTTGGGCAGCTTGGACAATGCCAGCTTGGCCCGTCCTATGGAGCGAGCCGCCGCCGGCAACACCCACTTCTCGGCCGCCATCGCCAGTGCAAAGTACGTGATGCCCAGGAACAGCAGGAGGACCTTGAAATTCCACGAGATGGTAGTCAGCTCCATCAAGTTTTTCAGCCAGTGGACAGGGCCGAGAATCATGTGCACGGTAACGAGCACCGTGACTGCAATTGTGGCGACGAAGGGCCAGTTCTGCCAAATGGCCTGTCGGAACGGCGGACCTGCGTTCAGCACGACACCCGACAGGATGTACTCAAAGCACGACACAAGGAACAGCGCCGTGTTTTCCGAGTTCTTGATGTTGGACTTGTCCGGATCGATGACTGGCGGGATAAACCACGGTTCATGCCGAACAACCAAAAACGTAACGGTTTGGATGGCAATGCAAATTGCCATCTGGCCGAGCAGCGGCGCCAGCACCTTGCGGGAAACAAGATCGGCCATTGGTCGCTTCTTGCCGAGCTCGGGAAAGGGCCCGGCCCAGCTCATAAAGACTGCAATCGGCAGAATGAGGGCCAGGTCGATAAACAGGAACTGGAAATCGCCGAGGTTCGATGCCGAGGCATACAAAAAGCTGACGGATGTGAACTGGATCGCTGAGTACAGGCTCATATACTTGAAGCAGCTGAAGCTCGTCACCAGCGACGCGCGGCCTTCGCGAATCACCTCGGGCACGCAGCGGATGTCAAAGATCTGTGATGTAAACGGCGCAGCAACGGACGCCTCGGCCTCCGACAGTGAGATGCCGACATCAGCAGCCTTGAGAGCAGCACAGTCGTTCGCTCCGTCACCACAGAAGCCGCAGCAATAGTCGATGCTCTGCAGCTTCTCAACCAACTCATGCTTCTCATCAGGCGACATGCGAGCAAAGACCTTGCCGCAGATGAGCATTCGATGGAGGATCTCGGGCGGCGCGTAGTCGACAATCCAGCGGAAAACATCGCCGCTCACGGCTACGGAGTAGTTTCGCAAATTGGAAATATCGTACGGCAGGGATGCGTCGCCTTCTGGTGGTGCAGGGAGAGGCAAAAGCGTCTTCTCGTCGAGCTGGTAGATGCTGTTGTCGATGCTCTCCCACTGGAGCTTTGATGTTGGGTCTTGAGCATTGCCTCGGACAAACCGGGGCACAAAGCAATGCGCTGTCTTGTTGATAAGTTTGCATTCACGGGCAACGCTGATGGCCGTCAAGATGTTGTCTCCAGTCACCATGACAGCGCCAATGTTGGACTGGATGAGCTTCTCCAAGACGGCCGTCGTCGTCGGCTTCAGCTTGTTCTCAAAGACGATGAAGCCCACAAAGTCCAGATCGGACTCGGCGTCGTGACGCTTCATCTTCTGCGCGCGAACCCAGCTAAGCTTCGGAATGTGCTTTGTGGCACAGCCGATCACGCGATAGCCCTTGTGCGTGTATGATGCTAACAAGTCATCGTAGTCGGCCGGCAGGCTCTCTGGCCGGCAGATTTCCCGCATGCACTCCGGCGCACCCTTGACGTAGACATCGCCACTGGGCTGGCCGTAGATACGCACAATGACACTGGCCCGGCGCAGCTGAGAAACGAACTCAAACGACCGCACGACACCGAGCTCAAAGGGATTCTCAGTCGCTGCTGTGGCTGCCAGTGAGGTTCTGCCATTGGACGCAGAGGGACGGGTGTCCAGGTCGTACACAACATCGGGCGGGGGACGAGCAACAGCCGGTGCAAGGCTGCCTTGGTTTTCCTCATCGTCCTGATCTCTTGAAGCGTTTTGGTTACCTTCGTCAAAAGTCCAGTTTGTAAATTCAAACATTTTCAGATCTAGAGGGTCACCGACCAGTTCATCGTCCACTGATCGCAAGGAGTGGCACGTGGCCATGGTAAAGAGAGCAGCGCGGCGAGCATCGTCGTAGGTGGCAATTGCCGTGCGTTTCGCACTCTGTTGCGCAGGGCGGGCAGGCACCAGCATAGACGGCTTCGAAATCACCTCGCCGAAACGATTGGCGGCATGGTCGACCACACGAACACCCAAAACGTCCAGGCCGTCCTCGGTTAGTGTCCCCGTCTTGTCGAAGCACATGATATCTAGCTTGCCGCCGACGTTGACGCGCTGTGGGCTGATACAGAAAATCTTCTTGGCCCGGAGCCGACTGATGGCAAAGTTTGTACCAATGGTGAGAGTCGCCGGCAGGGCAGGTGGCACGACAATGGTGATCAAGTCCAACGCACGAACAGCAATCAGATGCCAGGCCAGGCCAAGACGGACGAAGTTGATAAACGACGCAATGAAACCGAGCAAGGCAACACAAGCCATCACTGAGATATAACGGAACGAATCTCGGTAAAACTTGAAGCCAGAGGGTTTTGGGAACAGCATGGACCGCACCAGTGATCCCTTGGTCGTATTGAAGCCGGTGCGGAGAACCATGGCAAGGGCCATGGCCTCCTCCTCGTCGCGTGCATCCTGAGGTTTCCGGGAACGGACAATTTTTGTGCCGCAGAACAAAAAGTGCTTTGCAACTTCAGGTAAGATGGTCGGGGCGGCAAGATCAAGCAGTCGTATGCTCGTGTTGGTGGCCGGCGTCTTGGACACGGGGACAGATTCGCCCGTGAGCATGCTCTCGTTGACGATGCAGTCGCCGCTGAGCAGCAAGCTATCGCTGGGGAACTGCGTAAGGCTCGGGTCGCTGACTTCGTAAACATCGCCGGGAACGAGGTCGCCTGAAGACACGGTCCGCCAAAATCCATTGCGCAAGACACGCACGTCACATTCGAAGCGTGAGATTTCCCGTAGTCGGCGCATGGTAGACCGAGTCTCTATGAGAGTTGTGGTGATACTGCCAAACGACATGAGGAAGATGGCGATTGCGTAGTAATAGTACTCGTCCATGGACCAGAGGACCAAACTGGCAATCTGGAATACATAGAAGGGATGGAAAACCTCATCGACAAGAAGCTTGAAGACGGACTTCTGCTCGATATCAATCAAGTTTGACCCAAAGACCTGTGTCCGAAAGCCCTTTTCATCGCTATCGAGACCAGCACGGATCTCGCGAACGTCCTGCCATAGAGGGTCCTTCCAGCCGGCCGAGAGCACAAACTTGTCGCGTTGGGGATGGTAATAGAGGCGCACATAGCGATAGTTGAGCCCACGCAGGTCTTTCAACAATGGGTCGGGATCCTCGTCCTCGTAAACGTCGCTGGCCGTCTTGCGTGAAGCACCAAATAGGGTTGATAGTGGTCGGTTGTAGTCTGTATTATCGACGTCTAGAATGGCCATCTCGTTCCACTGGTTCTCAACCACGACCCAGGTGCACTCGCGAAGAGAGCACGCGCGGCCAACAACGCGGACGTGCCAGCGTGGAATCCACCGGAACAAAAGCCATGCGAGGCCGAACGAGAGTACGCAGAGCAGTGCATAGATTGTCTTGCCAACACGGCTGGTGCGGAACCCTGCAATGACAATGTACAGGTCCTCGTTGGCAAGGTAAGTCTTTTGACTCACGCGACCGCTACCATACTCGCTAGCAGCAACCGATGCTCCGCTGCTTCGGCGCCGCAGCAGGCCAGCACGGGCCGACGTCCGAGATAGCGTGGAAGACCGGCGGTGAAGTACGTAGTCATCGGGATCGGCCGCACTTTCGAGATCAGCCGAGTCATCCTCCTCTTCCGTCGCAAACTCGGAACCAGCGCCCGCGTTCCACTCAAGGTCTTCTTCGTAATGGTGCGAGCTGTATGACCCAACCAGAAGCCGTTCGGCCTCGAGGCTGATAGACTGGGAGTCGTCGTCGTCACGGCGGTGACGGACCGGAGCCTGAGCCTGAGCCCGGTCCTGTTCTTCGTCGTTATCCGTGTAGTATGCGAAGCTGGCAGTCGAATCGGCTCGTGATCGGCGATGCGAGAAGGCAGCAATGCTCGAGGGTAGGCTCTCGGCCATGGGACCGGAGTACAGCTACGGCCGGCTCAGTATGGGGGCGCAAAAGGAAGCGCCGTCGGGAATAAGAATCCTCCACCACTCACCTCGTCATGCGCCATTTCCACATCTTCAAAAACGCTGGTCGAGCTCTGGTTCGAGTTCAGACGGTACAGCGACGGGCCCATGGCGCCCTGATCCTGGCGGGTCGCCTCGGCCTCAGAAGGACTGAGGGGCTCGCCATCGCTGCCGTTCATTGCTCCCGTATCCGCTGTCAGGGGAATTATCACGAGTGCCGAGTCGGAGAGTCGTAGGGGCCGAGGTGCACAAAGAAAAAACTGTACGAGTGCTAACTGTGGCACATGACAGCAACAAGGGCACAACTGGCAGTGGCCTGGCAAAAGGAGAGTGTCGCACGGTGATGTCGTCCGAGGACTGACGGCAGCGAATGCGCGTGCTGTCGTGCGTGTTGAGTGTGCAATGTGTACGTGCGTGGCTGTGGTTGCTCGTGAGTGTGTTATCTTACATTGGCAATATTTTAAGCAGCGGGCGGCGAGGTTACGGCGCCAGTCACGCCGACTTTAAAAAAAACCTAAGATAAGGTCTTTCCCACAGCATACATGATGACGTCCTACTGGGCAATGGTAGATATGGTGGGGGAGCTATGGCGCTAAAAGGAAGGCGCTTTGCACTGGTGGCCTGCGACAGGCAGGCAAGACCGCCTGTAAAAGCAGCAAGCGCGATAGTGGGTCTCTTTCTTCGACGTCCACAGTCGCGCCTTCTTGGACGGAGTAATGCTTCATTATTTATCAAGAGGAATAAACTTAGTGTAGTCGTTGACGATCCTATGCCCTCACCAGCACAAGGCATCTTAATTTGCACGAGCTCAAAGCTTTAACATGCAAGGTTGGCCGTTCATTTTTGCAGGTTCGGGCCCAGCTAGATAATTCTCTGCAGAAGCATGACTCCAATTGTACTACAGAATGGCTGGCTGCGTACTGATGAGCGGTCTGGCCACGGCCGTAACTAAATCTGGTTGGTTCTTGCCTAATTAATGCCTGGCCAGCTATATCCTGTTATTGCACCACGTATAAGACGACAGGTGCTGGGGAAGGAACCACTGGGGCACGTCTGGCAGCCAGGAGCACCTCAGGTGCTGCCTCGGCTGGTTCAAAGCAACCTTCTTTGTTACAGTTTCATGAGACAAAGGAACGGCAGGAGCGAGGAACGGCAGGACAAGAGAACAAGTCTCAGGGTTGGAGGAAGGCAACAGAATACGCACAAGCTCCTAGCAGCCTGGGCAAGACCATCGCCCAAGCCTTCACCGAGCTCGCCTGGTTTTCTAGAAGGACGCAACGAAGACACAACATTGGAGAAGTGAGAAGAAAAGCGGGCCACCTTCCCGTGCAACCAATGACTGTGACCCAACGTGGCAAGTGGGAGACAAAAGTGGCGGCAACCAACGAAATGAGGTCCCCCAAAGCGACAGGGACGCCCAACACGCCCAGAGACCTAGCCAGAAGCAAGCGGTCCCCCATTTCCCTCTTCTCTCCCGGCTCCTTTCCCACCGCTCAGCAGAAAATTTCCCTGGCGTCCCCCAAAGGAAATCTCGACCCCGCCGCCAAAATTCCCATACTAAAATTTACTTCCCAACCCTCTTCGCCGTCTCCCTACTTCACCTCCTCTCCCTTTCACCACATCTCTCTTTCTCTCCTTACGCTCCTACGTCCATTTCTTCATCCTCCCCGAATCGACGATTTGCGACCAAACGAACACCGACCTCCTGTTCGTCCCGAGGTCTTCCATTGTCGACTCTGATACCTTTCATCCCCCACTATCACCAGTCGTCCGCCAGCAGCCATGGCCGAGCCCATCCGCAACAAGCGGCCTGATGCCGCCGCACCGTGAGTGAACGGCTCCTTTTGACAGGCCTGGCTACTTTTCCGAAGCTGTGTCCGATTCGTTGGCCTCGCGGGGCCGCATTCGACTGCAGCTTTGGAGAGTGGGCGAGAGTTTGTTTTGTTGGGACGCGTGTTAACGATTTTGATATAGGACGCCGCAAAACACGCCCGCCAACAATGCCCCCATCTCCTCGCACGCCCAGCAGCCCGGCGTTCCCAGCATCTCTGAGGGTGAGTTCCGTTTGTACTTTTTTGGCTATGATTGTCAAAGTCCTGGACCCGACAGGTCAAATGATGCGCGGTGTGGCTGAGGCAGGGGTCCCCGCGTTTTGTACACCCGGGCCCAGCCATTGCTAACGGCTTGCCAACCGCCAACAGAGCCGGTCGACCTTGCTGCTGCCGCGTCCCTTTTTGCCCAGAACCCCCGCCTTGTCAGCATGATCCAGGGCAAGCTCGGCAGCCTCGTGGGCCGCTCGTCTGGCTACATTGAGTCGCTGCCGCCGCAAGTCAAGCGCCGTGTCTCCGGCCTGAAGGGCATCCAGAAGGAGCACTCGAAGCTAGAGGCCGAGTTCCAGGAGGAGGTTCTCCAGCTCGAGAAGAAGTACTTCGCCAAGTTCACTCCCCTGTACGAGAAGCGCTCCAAGATCATCAATGGCGCCAACGAGCCTACCGCGGAGGAGATCGCCGCCGGCGAGGAGGAGGAGGAGGAGGATGAGGAGGAGGATGGCGAAGAGGCCCACAAGGCCGAGACCAAGGCCGAAGAGGCCGAGGATGCCTCCACCGAGCCTGTCTCTGGTATCCCGGAGTTCTGGCTGTCGGCCATGAAGAACCAGATCTCGCTCGCCGAGATGATCACCGACCGCGACGAGGGCGCGCTCAAGCACCTGACGGACATCCGCATGGAGTACCTCGACAAGCCGGGCTTCCGCCTGATTTTCGAGTTCGCCGAGAACGACTACTTCACCAACAAGACCATCTCGAAGACATATTTCTACCAGAGCGAGTCCGGCTACGGCGGTGACTTTATCTACGACCACGCCGAGGGCGACAAGATCAACTGGAAGGCCGAGAAGGACCTGACCGTTCGCATCGAGCAGAAGAAGCAGCGCAACAAGAGTAAGTTGATGTTTTGTTTCCCGAGTTGATGTTCAAATGGTTGATGTCTTGGTGGTCACCACATGACGTGGCTAGAGACACATCACATGCTAATGATGACCTCACAGACACTAAGCAGACCCGCATCGTCAAGAAGACCGTCCCGACCGAGTCGTTCTTCAACTTCTTCTCCCCGCCTGAGCCCCCGGCAGAGGATGACGAGGAGGCAGCCTACGACATCGAGGACCGCCTCGAGCTCGACTACCAGCTGGGCGAGGATATTAAGGAGAAGCTGATTCCCCGCGCCATTGACTGGTTCACGGGCGAGGCTCTGGCCTACGAGGAGATCGACGAGGATGACCTGAACGAGGACTTTGACGACGATGAGGATGATGAGGACGACCTGAGTGAGGACCATGACGAGGACGACGACTCTGACGAGGACGACGTAAGTACTGATGCTTAGCCCAGATCTTGCCTTCGCTGTAAAGTGGAAAGACACTGACGGTTTTCAACAGGATGATAGCTCGAAGCCGAAACCTGACGCTCAGGAGTGCAAGCAAAGCTAGACGAGCACCACGCCGTTGTCTAAACCGATGTGTTATATTCCTAGTCGAGGCATCTTTGATCCTTGCGGCACTGGGAGTTCACGCGAATACTAGATGGGAAGATGGAGCTATTCATAATTGATAGGAGCAACATAAGCCAGGTAGAGAGGATGTTTCCGGACTGGCCAGAGTTATGCGCAGTATAGTGCAGCTTACCCGAACGAATTCCCCCTCTTTGTCCTGCCTTGCTCCTTGATATACAATTCTCCTCTTGCGTACTAGACGGTGCTCTGTCGTCATCCTACCAAACGTAGGAACCGCCCCCAAGTGACACGGTCGAAGACGTCTTGATGTTTTACACAGAAACAAGGAAACACCTAAAAAACAAATACAAAATGACAGAGAAACCACAAAAAAATAACGTACACGGGAATGGATCAGGGGTGGAAAATAAGTTGTGATCAGGGTCATTTTTTCTGCTCTTGTTGCACTTTGGCTTTTTTTAACTTGAGATGCTTTTCTGTGTCGTTTCGCGTTCCTTGGGTTATTGACTTTTCACCACCCTCCTTTGTTACTTTTTACCCCTTCATTACACCCCCTTAATAGTTTGCTGCATTTAATTCACTTCCATCTAGTAATCAATCGATGTTAATATCCTCTTTGTGCGCGTTCGTAGCTGCTACTGTATAGATTGACATGCTTCGACCTTCGATGTTCAATATACAGCAGACCCCGAAGCCGGCACCGAGTCTGTGAGAAAGAGACCAGTCCTTCGATTCAGGCGTAACCATATGCGCGCTCTTTATTTCCTGTGTGCTTCATACCACTCTACTTCGATATGACAATAGCGATACGACGTATTGTTTTGCCGTTTACCTAACATGGAAATTCCGAAGGATTTGCGGAGAGCTCACGGATGCACGAAAAAAAAGGACGTGTAAGAGTCACAGCATTGCTGTGTTTGTTTACCCACCTCCCCTTTGCAGAGCCCACCTTTAGGAAAGATGAAAATAATTACAAAAAAAATACATAAAATAAAGAGACTGATTTATGCAGCCATACAAACTTTGGCATTGGGCGGTGCATTGAGAAAGACCTTGAAGAAGGCCTTGAAGACCCTGTCGGAAGAATACACGAGCCTTGCGGTAGAATAAACAGGCCATAAATAAACCAGTAAATAGGAACCAAACATTGCCCGGCCGGTGTCGTTGCTGGTCCCTCCTTGAGCACGCCAGAGTCATCGTTTAGACTGGCGTGGGGGTAGCCTGGTTCTGAATGGCTTTGTATTACTCTTTAGGATGTAAGTGAGGCAGTTTACTAAGGCATAGGCAAAAAAAGTCGACAGGTGAAAAATTTTCGCCGCTGGTTGCTCTGTCATGGTCTTGGTGAGAGGTCCAGAGCCTTCCGAAAGTCGGTGTTTGAATGCAACAAGGCGAGTATTAGTGGACACAACCTTCCGCGGTTTACTCCAGCTCTGTCGCTCTTGCTGAAAGAGGAACGGCCGCCAGTCCGCCCTGGTTTGTGAGTCAACGAGAAAGGGACACAAAAGGAAGGGCGTTGAAGCTGTTCCTGCCGTGTAAGACTTGCCAATTGGGCTAGTATTAATACCTCGCAAACGACGCCCCCGCTATCGCTCCAATTCGTAACGAAGGTGGCCAATCCCTCCATTTTTTTCTGGTTTGTGATTAACACTGCCAACTGACTGACATCACGACATCCCCCACCTCACTCCTTAAAAAAAAACCCTCGAAATTCGAGCATCATATGCTATTGTCGTGTACAACCCTAGAACAGAAATACGGCAGTGCTTTCGTTTACCTCGAGAGCTTTACAAAATCGGAACCCGAACTCGAACCCCTCCCCCACCTTCAATTGAACATCGCAATGGCAGCAAAACCGCAAAACATTGCCAGCCGGCCCGCGGCGCCGCTCTCTGACGCCAATACGCAATTCGTGTCGACCTCCCCGACTGCTACTTTCACGTCTCCCCCGTCCAGCTTCAACGCCTATGGCAGCCGGACCGGTACCGGTAGCTTCAGCAGCACCGGCGCTGCTGGTGACAGCCGTGTGGGCGGGAACGCCAAACCGCTCAAGCCCTTCAACTCAACCGACATCAAGATCCTGCTGCTTGAAAACGTCAACGAGAGTGGCCGTAGCATCCTGACGGGCCAGGGCTACCAGGTCGAGTACCTCAAGTCTTCGTTGCCCGAGGACGAGCTGATTGCCAAGATCCGCGACGTGCACGTCATTGGCATCCGCTCCAAGACGCGGCTGACGGAGAAGGTGCTGGCGGCAGCTAAGAACCTGCTTGTGGTCGGCTGCTTCTGCATCGGCACCAACCAGGTCGACCTCGACTACGCGGCCAAGAATGGCATTGCCGTCTTCAACTCGCCCTTTGCCAACTCACGCAGTGTCGCCGAGCTGATGATCGGCTGGATCATCTCGCTGGCGCGCCAGCTTGGCGACCGCTCCAGCGAGATGCACAGCGGCACCTGGAACAAGGTCAGCGCGCGCTGCTGGGAGATCCGCGGCAAGACGCTGGGCATTGTCGGCTATGGCCACATTGGCTCGCAACTGTCGGTGCTGGCCGAGGCCATGGGCATGTCGGTCATCTACTACGACATTGTCACCCTGATGGCCCTGGGCAAGGCACGCCAGGTCGCCTCGCTCAACGAGCTGCTGCGCGAGGCCGACTTTGTCACGCTGCACGTCCCTGCCACCCCCGAGACCCGCAACATGATTGGCGCTGCCCAGCTGGCCCAGATGAAGACGGGATCGTACCTGCTCAACGCCAGCCGCGGCACAGTCGTTGACATTGCGGCGCTGGTCGATGCGCTCCGGGCAGGCAAGCTGGCCGGTGCGGCGCTGGACGTATACCCACAGGAGCCCGGCGGAAACGGCGCTTTCTTCAACGGCTCGCTGAACCCCGGTTGGGGCGACGAGCTGCGCGGCCTCAAGAACGTGATTCTGACGCCGCACATTGGTGGCAGCACGGAAGAGGCCCAGCGCGCTATTGGTGTCGAGGTCGGCGACGCACTCGTGCGGTACATCAACCAGGGTATCACCCTTGGCAGCGTCAACCTGCCCGAGGTCAACATGCGCTCATTAACGCTCGAGGAGCCCAACCACGCGCGCGTCATCTACATCCATCGCAACGTTCCCGGTGTGCTGCGCCGTGTCAACGAGATACTGGGCGACCACAACGTCGACAAGCAGATTACTGATAGCAAGGGCGACGTACGTAACCCCACATACACGGTAGAGCACATTCTTTCTGGAAACTGTTTCAAGTTCACTAACGTCGTTTAGATTGCCTACCTGATGGCCGATATCAGCGACGTTAAGCCCAGCGACCTTAAGGAGATTACCGATAGCCTCGAGGGTCTCAGCTGTACGTATTGTCTTGCACTTTTTCTTTTCATTTATTTTTTTTTCACCTCGGAGAAAAATACTAACTCACCGTCCAGCTTGCATCAGGACCCGTGTGCTTTACTAAACTGACGACATTGTTGTCACGTTTTTAAGCTCCGTGTGGCTCCCCTCGCATATGACTTTCTATCGGCGTCGAAAATAAATAAAACATGAGCAAAAGCGGCAAACAAAACCAATACCATACCGCTGCAACGCGATATCACGTATAAAAAGGCGCAAACTTACGGCGTCATGCTTTTCATTGATTTTCTTTTCATTCCTTCTTTTGCATATCTTCCTCATCGGTCGACAGCTCAGCTGTTCAACATGGACGAGCACAATTCGGGCGCTCCCCCGTCGCGGTCTGGCCTGGCACTATTATTATTATTATTTTCTTTTCTGGGATATATCATGGGACGAGTTTCAACAATAAATAAAGAAGAGCATAGTATAGATTGCATGGGCGGAATTGGAATATTTTTATGACTGCCTAATATACCGCATTTCATGTGCATGGCTCACGGGAGACACCCCAAGACGAGACAAAACAACGGTTTTCATCGCGTGCAAGGAGACATCGGACGTTGTGGTTTTGCTGTTCTGCTTTGCTTCCCTATTTCGTGTCTCTTATTTTGCCAGTTCGTCCATCGCACTGGGCCCCCAACACTTTCATTCTTAATACATATCTTAATGTCTGTGCTCCACAACTACATCCTCAAAGACCCTGTCGGAAAACAACCATGTCGACGCGTGAAGGCTTCCTCACCTTCTTCCATAAATCGCCCCATAATTAAAGAAGATCCTAGCTGTTGTGCTCCACAGGCAGATCTTGGTCCGAAATTAATAAAAAAAAAGTGAAGGAAAGAGATGAAGAAAGCAGGCAAATTAGGACATAAGGCAAGACAAAAGAAGCTGTCAACCTAAAGGCAAGAAGAAAAGAACAATGCGGAGTACTGAGCAGCGTCCTTCTGGAACGTATACACATACGTTGTAGAATGACACAGTTAAATGCACCGCAAATCCGCTTAGAGGCGTCGCCACTTTCTCACCCTCTCAGCGAAACACCACAAATCAAAAAGGCAACGGCCAATATGGGTCGGTGATGTTCAACCTGTCAGGCTGGACGCGTTCTGAACATCTACCCGGTAACATTGAACCTGCCACTGGTGACAAAGGTACGTCGTACCGTTCTCCGCGACGTAGTTTTCGCATGCTCCCTTGTCCTCAGTGATGATGCAGAATTGCTCTCCGTGGGGACGAACCGCGCCATCCCAGAAAGACACGCGTTTGGGTCCTTTTAACTTGGCTTATTCGTGACACGCGTTTCATGTTTAGGTGGATGGAGCAAACGGTATCGAAAACGGCAACGGGAAAATTGACAAGAGGGAAAGGGGCTCAAGGACCCGCTAGCGTATGCTTTTAATGGCAGTCGATCGCTGCTGATGGGTTCAGCTACAGCGCCGTGAAAGCACGTTGGCCCCCTGTATTTCGTCACGACAAGCCGCTGTGTCGCCGCAGACTGAGATCATGGAGAGAATGCATCTAACGGACGAGGTTCGCGCAGTACCAATGAGCCGCAGTACGTATCTTACGAAACGTCCTGGCGAATT